GGCCCCCTCTGTATATGTAGTCATGGGATGTAAAATACAGCATAGGGAATATAGTCAATGGTATTGTAACAGCTATGTATGATGTCAGAGGCGTAGTAAACTTTGTGGGGTTATCACTTTATGAGGGGTGTAAATGTCTAATCATTCTGTTGTTTTGTACACCTGAAACTAATGTAAGAAAAAAATTAAAAAATAAATGTAAAGGTTTTATTTCTTCTTATCCAGTCTCTACAAACTTCCAAACCTCTGTCACCTGGGATAATAAATAAGGACAAAGAACATGAGCTACTTTTCAATCCTTCCTAAATAATTTGTTTCCTAACACCTACATTTATAACTACTAACCTTTGTACAATATAGCAATTTACAGCACAATATAGTCTTCATTCAATTTGATAAATTAGTATGCAATAAGCATTGTGGTGGGAGTACGAAGATGAATAAGAAATATTCCCTTTGAGGGATTTAGTCATTTTTTTGTGTAAATGTATATTGCTCGTAGATTACTATAGATTCTCAAAGCAACTTTGGGAGATATTATTATCATATTAGATTGAATCAACACAGAATAAAACTCACGTTTAATACCTTGCTTGAGGTTACTTCATTGGTGAGCGATAGAGCTGGGCACTGAATCTAGATACTTCATTCCAGAGCTCTTGTCCTTAATGAACATAATTCTTTTAAAAATTGGAATGATTCTCATGTTCTCATCACCTCATGCCCAGGTCATTGTCTCCCTTCCTAGTTTGTTGTAAATGCAATTTAAAATCATTATAGGAATAAGCATTGGAAGAGATGCAAAGTGATGTTCCTTGTTCTAGTTACACAAGAATGTACATTTCATACCTCATGGAATTTGCTTAAGTGTTTTTTTCACCTTGGAATAATGTTCTATAAACACCAGACTCAGAATCTGATGACTATTTTTTTTTTGCTTTTTGTCTAATTTAAATCTCTCTCTCCCTCTCTCTCTCTCTCTCTCTCTCTCTCTCTCTCTTTCTTTTTCTCTCTCTTAATATTACATCAAACTTAAAAAATTTTTTCTTTAAATATTGGGGCGACACTGGTTAGTAAAATTACATAGGTTTCAGGTGTACAATTCTGTAATACATCATCTATATATCACATTGTGTGTTCCCCACCCAGAGTCAGTTTTCCTTCCATCACCGTATATTTGACCTCCTTTTCCCACTTCTACCACCCCCTCCATCCTTACCCTCTGGTTATCTTAAATCTCTCTTGTTCCAATTTAATTCCTTTTTTAGGTCAGTTGGTATTCTCGACTTGATGAAAAAAGAAAATGATTCGAAGGTGACAGAATTTGTTCTTCTGGGTCTATCATCTTCTTGGGAGCTGCAGCTATTTCTCTTCTTAGTATTTTTGTTGATGTACGTGGCTATTGTTCTGGGAAACCTCTTGATAGTGGTCACAGTGCAAGCAGATGCTCACCTACTCCAATCTCCTATGTACTATTTTTTGAGCTACCTGTCCTTCATTGACCTATGCCTGAGCTGTGTTACTGTGCCCAAGATGTTAGGGGATTTCCTACAGCAGGGCAAGGTCATCTCTTTTTCAGGATGCCTGGCCCAGATTTACTTCCTGCACTTCCTGGGAGCCAGTGAGATGTTTCTGCTGACAGTCATGGCCTACGATAGGTATGTTGCCATATGTCATCCTTTGCATTATCTGACAGTCATGAACCGCCAGCTGTGCTTTCAGTTGGTTTTTGCCTGCTGGTGTGGGGGTTTCATCCACTCCATCACACAAGTCACACTGATCATCCAGCTGCCCTTTTGTGGTCCCAATGAACTGGATAACTTCTACTGTGATGTCCCACAGGTCATCAAGCTAGCCTGCATGGACACATATGTGGTAGAGGTACTGATGGTCTCAAACAGTGGTCTGCTGTCTCTTGTCTGCTTCTTGGTCTTGCTCTTCTCTTACGCTGTCATCCTCATCACGTTGAGAACTCGCTACCGCCAGGGCCAGAGCAAGGCACTCTCTACCTGCGCCTCCCACTTAACAGTGGTCAGCCTGATATTCGTGCCGTGTGTATTCATCTACCTGAGGCCTTTCTGCAGCTTCCCGGTGGATAAGGTAGTCTCCGTCTTTTACACAGTGGTCACACCTATGTTGAACCCCCTCATCTACACACTCAGAAATGCTGATATGAAGACAGCCATGAAGAAGCTGAGGAAAAAATCATGTGGCATCTTGCTGCCATGTTAAAGGATGAGCGGGAAGAGGTGATTTCGAAAACATACTCTTTCTTGGGACACTCAACTCATTCCGTACCTGAGTTCATGGATGAAAACCAATTTGGTGACTTTGATATAAAAGAGAAACCAGCATAAAAATTATAATGCCTTGTTCTTGATTATAGTTATGAGGCATAGGTGACTTTCTCAGGTATCAAATAGTAAGCAGGGAACTCAGGAGTGTTTACTATCCCCCAAATGGTAACAGTAATTGATTGAGGGCTAGAGTCAAGAGGACACCTTGAAAGATCAACTCTTCTATCCTTTGTCTATTAGTAGTCTTCCTTTATTCAATTCATTTCACTTTTAAACTGTGTTCAAATGAGAGAATATATTACATCTCCTATTGTGTCCTGCTCCTCCAGGGTCTAACAATTCCTGGTGTCAGGAAGCTCCTTCTGATGTCTCATCGGAGCCTCTTTGGAAGCAGTGTGACTCCCTTTTGTCCTGTCCTAACGAAGCCTGAAAACATTGCTAACCACCCTGTATATGAATATAAGTGCTCGCCCAAAAACTGTGTTCTGTCTTACGCCAAATTTTAGAAATGCAATTGAACAACTCTCTTGAATGAATACACACCCTTAGCAAAGCTTATGTGTGGCAGGAAAGGAAGTCTGGGAGAGCTGGGTGATGAGAGCTCTTAGGATTCTGCTGTACAGGCTGCTGGAGAAGAGGTCTCCCATTTCCCCTCGAGTTTTTCTTTGAGTGGCATTATAGTGGGGGGGCGAGTTGATAAGCTGGCTCGACTGATTATAATGTTTAAGAGCTCTGAATGCTAAAGGAAAACAAAAAGAAAGAAATGAGCTGTTTTAAAGCATCCCCTGACCTGGTGCTTATCCTTGAGGTTCTCATGGTTATTACCTGAGTCTTGAAAGTGCTTTGAGGGGCTCAAAGCTAACTGGCCGAGTGGCTCAGTTGGTTAAGAGCTCACACAAGAGTGCAAGCTCTGAGTAACAGTGGCTCGATACCCGGCCTGAGCTGAGTTTCTGCTGAGCTGCCAATAGGTGGCAGGATGGCTCAGTTAAAAAAAAAAAGTGCTCTGAGGAGTAGGTAATATGATTGAATTTCATTTTTAGAAATGAACACAGATTTGAGTGACTTGCCCAAAATCACTTAGAAAAAGTGTATTCAATGAAAAAAGCTAGTAACTTTAGATAATTAAGATTAAGCTAATATTTTTTTCTCCCCAGAAAGAGTATTTATCCCAAATACAAGTATGTAGACTAATTGCTTAGTTTCAACTTACTTGATAGAAGCTCCAGAACTAGGACATCCTTAAAAAACTCATGTAAACATTTATTTTTAAGGTTCCTAGTTTCTGATATAAGATTCTTTGCAACTTTATCTGCTAAATAATAATATAAAGATGGACTTCCAGGAATATTTTTATATTTGTTCACTTTATTTACTAATCAATTGCTATGGAGAAACTTTTCTGATTACTTAGCTGAAAACATACATCAAGGAAAAAAAATGTCTGAAATTCCACCTACTACTAAGTTATATTAGGAAATTTGTAATACCTCCTCATCACATAAGAGCTTTCTTTACATTGGAATAAGGAATGGATTTTCATTTTTGTACTGGCCGTTAGTGACTTTATGTTTAAGAAACAGTATTTATGGGCCGGCCGAGTGGTGCGATGGTTAAGAGCTGGCTTGGGACACCAGAGGGCCCCAGTTCGGATCCCACATATGAGGGCCAGTGACACTGCCCTCTACAGCTAAGATGCTGAACAACAGCTCAACCTGGAGCTGGGCTGCCGTGAGTTGCCGGCGACAGCTTAGTCTGCAGTCCCTGTGGCAGTGGGTTGCCATGGTCTACTGTGTGTAGCCAGCAGCCAGCATGAGCGGCCGTGAGCGGCCGTCCAGAAGCCGGCGACTGATCTGCCTCACCCGGGAGGAGTGCAATGATGGTGCCAACTTGGGCCAGTGAAGCAACGTCCTCCACAACTAGACTGAAGAACAAAAGGACAGCAACTTGTCTGTTCCCCTTCCCCCAATTCCCCAATAAAAATCTTTGGGGAAAAAAAGAAAAAGAAACAGTATTTATGTATGTAAGTATGTATGTACGAGTATGTATGTATGCAATGCATGTATGCATGTATGTACTGCTACAGAAGGACTCAGACCAGAAGAAGGCAACCACTTGGATGATTTCTTAATAGTATGAGTGAGGCTGAGAGTGGCATCCCTGGTAAGTACAGATTGCGCTCTCCTCTTTCCCAAACTCCACAATATTTCCACAGAGATCCATTGCCTACAGTGAGTATGCAGAAGAGCAGACGGGAGGAAACTGCCAGACAGAGAGTAGTGTGTGGGTTGGCAAGGAGGTAAATGATACCAAGAGTCAGCCAGGCACATCACAGGAATGTGAGGCTCCAGGCTTTCTTTTTTCATTAGCTCCCTGAACACCCCCATTTACTAATGTCCCCCTTTCATAGCAAAATTTAAGGCCTTGAGAAAACATTTAAAATGTCTTGTTGATAGCTGGGATTGGTAGCAAAATATTCAGAAACATAAGAATTTTGTATATTCCCTTTTGTATTTTCAATCCTCTGATACTTGCTTAATCAATTATCTATATCAAAATTCTCTTTATTAAGCTGATAATATTTGTTTTTCAGACTGTCCATGATTTATATTATCTACACAGTTCCCTGCTTAAATGCTCTGAGCCCACTTTCAGGGTCTGCCTGAGCCTCTTCCTTGGGTCCATCCTTCTGGGGTAAGGGAAATCTAGTAAGAAAATAGTAAGATGGCCAAATAATAATAAGTAGAGGTAGGTTTTTTGTTGCTGTTGAGTTAGAGATCCAATACAGTGATGCTGAGTACCAACCTCCCCCTTCCTTTGCCCCAATTGTGCAAAACTGTGTGAAAATGGCCTGAATATTTATTAACTAGTTATTTACCAAGTGACATTCAATATAGATTTACAAGGAGTCACTTGGTGGGAGTTTTTAGAAGGAGAAGTTTTTCCCATTGCCATATTTCTCCCTCTAAGGGACCTAGAAACTAGGAAGCATTATGGGAGAGAAGTCAGCATGTCATCACAATGTTTACCCCTAATTTAGAGAAAACATTTCCTGGGAGATATCCCTCTAATAAATAACTACTAGGGAGTTTTGGATGTTTTAATATTCATTAATTCATTACTCATTCACTAATGCATTATTAATTTATTATCCATTCATTAATTCAACAGCTATTTGCTGAGTGCCTCTTATGTTCCTGGAAATGTGGTAGACATCTGTCATTTGGGTGTTCCCCAAAGCATCAATAGCTAACTATACTATATATATATAGTATACTATATATATATACTATATATATCAAATACCTAACTATAAAGTCTCAATATCCACCAGAGGAAGGTGAATAGCATTCTAAGGCCATATGTGAGCCGAGAGGACTGAGGGGTGTAGAGCACAGAGGTCAGAAGTGTGGAACTCTGGAATCAGACAGCCTCGTCATGGTCCAGCTCTACCACTTGCCCAAGGGCGAGTGACCTCTTGGTACTCCTTCGACTGTAAAATGGGGACAATTATACCTGCTTCATAGGGTTCTCAGGAAAACTAAGCAAAGTGATGCTTGTAAAGCTCTAATAAGCAAGGGTGTCTACCTGTGGTCAGAACTCAATAAATATTGACTGCTTATGTTACCACTATTGCTAATTGTTCCATTAAATTAAAAGGGAACTAAAGGCTGAAAGAAAATTGTACAGTTTTTTGATTCTAGAGAATCACAGGACAGAATCACAGAACTAGAACTTTTGACTGTAAACCCCTGCCATGTGACAGTAAAACCCTTAGTAACTCCCCATTCATATTGAAGCCAGACTCAATACAAGACATTTCATGTTAGGTGATAGTATAAGCATCCTCAAAAACAATTTTTTTAATGTAAAAAAAAACCCCACATTTTAAGTTTTTTATTATAATGTTCAGGTTAACATCATGCTTTCAAGGCTTTTATGCCATAACTTTTAAATTTAAATAATTGAAAAAATATTAGAATAGTTTTCAATTTACAGGAAAGTTGCAAAGATAGTACAGAGAGTTTCTGTTTATCTCACACCATTTCCCCTATTGTTAACATCTTACATTACTCTGGTACACTGTCACAATTAATGAACCAACATTGATACAATATTAACTAAACTCCATATTGTATTTATATTTCAATCGTTTTTCTTTAATGATTAGGCTTACTCAAGTTATCTATTTTTTATCTATTTTCATGCTAGTTATTGATTTATTGTCCTTATGTTCTTTATGTACCTAGGAAACGTTTTGTAATTATTCCATAAAAAAACACAAGCACCTGGTGAGCTTCTGTTACTTAGAGGAAATGGCAAAATCTATAATGCAAATATGGTGCAGTCTGGCTCCTATCTCTTAAGAGAATAACTGTTTGAATTCCTGTCCCTACCCACCTCTTCTTCTTCTTTCACCTGCAAGTTCTATCCTGTCTCAGATTCTGGTACAAATATTATCATGGCAATTTGTGGGACAATGGGGCATAAAAGGGGATAAGAAAATCTAGGATAATACCTAAGAATCCCCATATTATTCACTTTGCTGCAGTACCACTCTAAACCCTGGGCCCAGTTCTAGTGACTAAGCTTGTTCCAAGACCAAGTCTCAGTCATAGTCCCCACTTATTGTCCCAGTCCTGTCCCATAATATGAACCTCTGAGCTATTTACAGTTTCCCCATACACTTATGCCTCTGAACATGTTGCTTTCTCTGCCGGAATTACCCACTTTTTACCTTCAATATCAGATTAAGAGTGTTAACTTCTTGGAAGTCATCTCTAATCCTGTCCTTACAGAGTTTTATTAACTGATCCTTATGTGAATTTTCATAGCACGCTATACCTATCTTTTGTCATCATAGCACTTACCATATTGTAATTTTTTAAATTAAATTTATTAGGGTAACATTGGTAGTAAGATTATATAAATTTCAAG